ATTTTTACCTAAAACGGAATGGTAGCCGTAAAGTCGCGCATCGACAGAAGCCGAGCGTGTGCCGATTATCGGCTTCGCAGCCTAGAACGCTGGTACTTTTCGAGCGAAACAGAAGAAGCGCAAATCGCTTCTTGGCACTCAAACGGTTAACCCTCATAAGAATCTAAGATCCCTCACGATTCAGTCCCTTCCGTATTTTCTTCGATCAATTTTGCATTTATTAATTTCCACGATAAAACTATCTCATCCAGCGCAAACTTCTTCATCATATTGTTTATCTAAAAATATTGTATAAACTTTGTAATAAAACGAGTATTTGTCTAATACCGTTTCAGAGGGCATTATTTCATCGCTAATTGCTTTCACGAATAACTTGTTTAAAAAGAAATTAGCAAACGAACGATATATTATTATTATTTTCCAAACATTTATTGTCAAAATGAAATATATCTTTCAAATCATATACGAGTATTGCTTGCAACTCTAATAGTATGATCATATTTTCCATGTTTGCGATATCGAAACTCTTTGCATATGCTACAAGATTTATACAAAACCATGGAGCGCCTATGAGTTTTACAAAATCGCAAACTCAATTTAGTCCAAATTCTCTCATCCATCGCAATGTAGTCATTCTATCTTGGAACTCATTAAAAACTTCTAACTTGGAACTCATTAAAAACAACGCCATCTTCCTATATATTTTACTAATAACAATTGCAATATCTGTGCGACGAATGAATACTCATGACTTTCCGCATTGTTTCTACTACAACGACAATTACTATCCGCGCGGTTGCAGAAATATCCGTTCCAGCTTTCACGGCAACGAATCGACGTCGGCTAGTTCAGTTATCAAGTTTTCGGTAGCGATTTTAATTCTTAACTATCCTGAAGAATGGTAAAACGGCGTGGTTCGTTCACCGTCTTCCTATATACGCAGGGTGTATTCAGAAAGGAGTCGTAGGAATGATAATAATTTAAAGACGATCACATACTAATAACAAATCTTTAATTCGTCTATGTATTTCCAAATACAGTGATTCGATACACCAGGAATGATGAGATCCCGTAACGTGATTAATAGAGAGCGATCTTTTGCTCAAGATGGTCTGCGAGATACTTTTATTACGATGGATTTAAACTGACTAACGGCAACTAAGATACTGCGTTCAGTTAAACAAAAAGAAACGCTCGCTCTCTTGCCCAACATTACGCGGATCTTGCCGGGATTCCGATGGGCGCCAGCCGGAATTTTCTGGCCGATCATGCAAGGTACTCGAGTTAACTCGCTGGCCAAAAACAATCTTCAAAAGTAGGCAATACACAATTACATGTCGCAATATTTTACCAGCAATTACCGACATAGATAATCCGAAGACTGTGCGACCGGCAATTAGAAAAGGCAACCGAGTCCCGCGTCCGAATCTCCGAGATTCCTCTCGGGCACGGCCTTCGTCACCTGCGACGTGACCCTGAAATCTCGCACGACCGTGCGTCCCGACTTTCAGAACGCGACGGATCCTAAGCGAGTCCAATTCCCAGTTTTCTATTCGCACAGATGCCGCCGAGAAACGACGGCAACCGACTCGGAATTATTACGCAACTCTACTATATTCTACTCGCGGCTATACAGATTTTCTCGCTCACCCACTCGCCACCTGAAGCTCATCTCTCCTTCGACGTCGTCTCGCTCCCTTTCGGAGCTCGCTCGCTCTCGCCTCAGAACATTCGTCACTCTCGCCATTGGGCCGCACAGTAACGAGCACAGCTCGTTAATTAGCGCAGGAAGCAGTCGACGCAAGGATCGTCGCGCTGATCGCTACGAGATCCTATTGGCTCTCCTGGCTAGATCACATCTAGCATGAGTGCTCGCGGGGGCTTCGCATTTAAAGTTTTTGATTCGACGCTTAGCTTTTCCTAGTTCCTTCCGGGACGGCATCCGGCAATTACTAGGCTCGCAGTAATTTGAAGGAATTCTCTGGACTCTTTCAAATGGATCTTCTCTCATATGATCATCTGCGCACAGGGGCCTTGCGCTTTTCAAGTTCAAGGTGGCCCTTCCCGATACTCGTCGTCATCCGTCCGCTCTTGAGAGGAAAGTTCCCCGCACTTTTCCAAACGCCGCTTCTCATCACTTCACTAGAGTCCTCACTCTCTCTCTCTCTCTCTCGCTCTCGGCTCCTCCCGGCAGCTCCGATTCCTCTAGTCTTTCTATCTCTAACATTCTAGCTTCTGATCGTGGATGACTTTACAACAAATAATATTAGAGCCGCGACTCGCATCCCGTGCGCAAAACGGCGTATGAAACAAAATTTTAATATTCGGTCGCCTTCTCGTACGAAAAGACACGAGTTTCCGGCTCATCCTCGGCCAGACCGCAAGTCTGAGTGACGAGCAAAAATTTGCATCGTCACACTACGCACATTAAATAAAATGTATATATTTATATTACATATAATATACATATACATATAGTAGCGCTCATAAATATTTTAACAAACCTTATTTCGCTAATAAGAAATAATAGGGATTGAGTAGTACGACGCGTCCATTATATTACATCCTTATTCTATTTACTATCATTGTCACCGTTAATATTTACTTTCTACGCGTATTGATCTACGTTCTGTGAGCAACATTCTAAAAACTTTGAAACCGTAAGTATTTTTACAAAGATATTTTCGTGTATGAATGTCTTGTTTTCTTCTGATTTTATCGGCTTTGACAATTGTTATTGTAAGAATTGAATTTGTATTTTAGATATTATAATGCGCTGGCGAAAGAAATACTTTATGTAGCTTAGAGAAGTTGTAATTGCAGCTCTTAAAAATGGCCCGAGCTAAGTTAAGGATTTCAGTCTCTCGAAGTAAATTATTAGTGTCGGATCAATAGTGGAACCCTCTGCAGAACAAAAAAGGAATTAGTAGCAAACAAATCCTGACCAAGAAAAGGTCAGGTGATTCACGGGTAAAAAAATTCAAAAGGTGATTCACGGGTAGAAAAAATCATTGAAAGAAAATATGTAGATGATTCACGCATCAAAGCAGTGGACATAAACAATCTTCGAGAAGAAAATCTTCCGGAAAATTATCGCGTGGAACTTGATATAAATTTAATCATTAAAGCCTTTTTGCGACAACGAAGTTGACCTCCATTACGTTACCGCTGTACGCAAGAACGAGACGCGAGCGTGCATTATATAGCAGATAGAGCTCGCGTAGAGATATAGCGAAATTTGATCTTCAAACCAGAATTTTATTTTGATTTTACTTTTGTCAGTAGCAACAATTCTTACATACAGAAGTCTTGCGAGCGGTCACTATAGTGGTCATTCGTACACAACGATAGTTTAGCGAACGGCCACTATGAGTGCGTTCCATTATACGCTCGCAACGCCCACGCTCGCAACACTGTGAGCACTCGTTCCACTAGCGTGGATGTTGTAGCTAGTGGAACGATTTTGAACGTCGTGAGTGTTTCGTTATTTAGATATGTTCAAATTATCTTTATAATACAAGTAATGAAAAATTAATCGTCAGTTAGTGATACTAACTTAACTTTTAACAAAGAAAAATAGACATTATCGAATGAAGAACAAAAACATTTTGGGTTGATACATAATTATCCGCCGTTTACATTTTGCGTATTTATTGCTCATGAATATTGGCGTTTGTTTACTTTATTAATAAAAACCATTCTTCTATATTTACTTAATAGAAATGCGTATCGAAAATCATATTTACTTGCGCCATATTATACTCTACCATTTCGAGAAAGAATGGACTGCAGCACAGTCATTCCGCGATTTCAATGATCTTTTTGGCGAAGGAATACGGCTGCTAGAAATGCCTGATCGTCGAAATCCGATGGCTATCCTCTTCCTGACTTGTCCTCCATGCTTGTGTCGCCAGATTTGAAAGACGAGAAAACCTCTTCCGACACTGTCTCTCACTGATTGTTTCTTCAAATTCCTTATTTGAGTAAACGTGAAGTGCACGTAAATCTTTTCTGCATAGTGTGCTCCGATCCGTGAGGCTGTTTGTCCGCCCGCGGTTGTTATGACAACGGTTAGCTCTTTAGACGAGACAGTGTGACACTCCTCACGACTCATGACGTTGGCTTGGCGATCACGATTGAATCTTCTAGAACGATCTTCTGGATGATTTCTCGATTAATTTTTTCACTTAAATTTCGAACAACTTAAATAAAATCATCGAAAAATGAATATTTTTCGAGATATTTTACTTTTTATTTTGATATTTTTCATTACAAGTTATTAAATATAAAATATTCACTTTTCGATAACATCACCTTAATATTTTTGTAGAACATAGAACAGGTGGAATTAATCGTTATAAGCAAATATAGAAAAACCTTAAAAAAAATTTATTGCATTTTTCAAATGCATCAGTGCATTAATGTGCAATGATTAATACCAGTAACGGATTTATCTTATATTATTACGTAAAAAAGTGTTAAGGTGATATTATCGAAAAGTAAATATTTTATGAAATATTTCATATCTTATAATGAAAAATATCAGAATAAAAAAAAATAAAATATCTCGAAAAGTATTCACTTCTCAATGATCTTACTTTAGTACTTTTATACGCATAATGAAAAGGAATCGAATTGTGTTAAAAAATTATATAATTTTATTTAAAAAAATAAAGTTGACCTTAAAATGATCTTGAATTATTGACTATACAACAAAGTTATGGTCACTATTTTAGGTCTCCCTCGAAACTTTACAACTTTCGTCTGAAATTATTAACTGGATTATAATACAAATGCGCGTGTTGATAAATTCGATTGCAACCTGGTCGGGCGGTGAGTTCGAAGCGGGCCAAGCTTAGTAGCGTGAAGTGCTCGCGAAAGACGCGGTGCGCAGTTCAGTAATGCGCATTGATCGCAAATTGATATTAGTAAGTTCGGAGACAGGACCTATAGCGCGACAGGACGCACGTGGTCTGATAGGCTCACTAACGTGCGTAACAATGGCACGAGCTCAACGTGAGGACAAATCGGAGACGGTACAGACTTTTGCGGTTCCCGATAATGTCGGCGTGAACGGAGACGAAAAGGTAACCAGAGCTGCGACAGCCTACATACAGTTGTGACGCGATTTATCTCGTACTTTTCGCTAAAGCCCAACACCCGATCAAAAGCTTGCTAACGTTCGGCGAAGATCGCAAATACAGTAATCTCCTTTATTCGACTGGGTAGAACGCTTGCAAATGCACGGCAGAAAACGCTGATCCTACAAAGCGGATGGCCAGTATCAATAACGATCGACCGAGGCAGTTAAAAAACTCACCTTGTTTGCCGGATAGTCGCTAAAGTGATAGTCGGATCGTCTGACTCGTTCGCTCGCTTGCTTTCGCTCGCTCGTTGTGAGGCTCGACTCTGTGTCGATCGATCGAGATAGATTGCTCCAGTTTTATATTTGATCAACACAGAGGCGCCGACGAACAGAGAACTACGCGCGCTGACAATGTTTATGTGGCGCTAAGCGCCTAGTACAGTCTAACGGGTGTTCGATTTGGCCGTGTTTAATAGTAGTGCATTGTTGCACACTGTCACAATCCTTTACGAATACAGAGGTCAAGTCAGAACCACTCGATAGCAAAAACTTATTCTGCAACCTTTCCACTTCACCTCAAAAAACTTATCTCTATGTTCTCGCCATCAACATTAAAAAATGAAAAATATGAAATATTAAAATGAAAAATATTAACTAAAAATCCGTTCATGATATCACCAATTATCGTAGTATTATGGGACAATTCCGAATCAAGTCCCACAATGTATATGCCCTAGAATATGTGCTTGGTTATGTTGGGCTTTCGTGATGTAATCTTATTTTGAACGATCATCGAAACACATTGAATCAACATATAGAAGCTCTCTCCAACATACAAAATATTTAGCATTTAAAAATGCAACAAATTAGACGACGAAAATAGGAAAATTATCATATTCAGAAAAAAAGTTATTTGATATCTTCAAACTTTCAAAGCTTGCGATATGGCAGGAATGAGACAGAGCAGCACTGCCTTCTCGAAAATAACTGAAAGGATTGTGTACTTTTGTTTTTCATACTCGCAATAATTGTGAAATTCTTTCAAACAGGCAAATTAAAAAATACTCCAATTTTCCTTATCAATGTATACAATGCTCATCTTTCGTTCACCGCGTCAAATATTCACGACGCTATCAACGTAATATGTTTTTCATTTGAACAATTCTTATACAGAGTGTCCCATAACGCGGCCAAAATCATGTAAAACGGATACCACAGGTCGAGTAGAAAAACATGATCGAAGTCATTTTTCGAACTACCACGTAAAGTTTCGAGTTATTAAAGAAAACAAATAGACGAACCAGTGCGCGCGATGCAATAGACAGGGCCGTCCAGTTCGACGCTGACGTAAAGGCCGGTTGACACGAAAATATGAGAAACCGCGTCGATTGTCGCGCATACGTCAATCATTTCTCAGTCGGCTGCGTCGAGCCAGACGGCCCTGCCTACCGTATCGCGCGCGCTAATTCGGCTATCTATTTTCTTTAATAATTCGAAACTTTATATGATAGTTCAAAAAATGATTTCGATCATGTTTTTCTACTCGACTTGTGGTATCCATTTTATGTGGTTTCGGACGCGTTACACGGGACACCCTATATCCAAAGTCCATGTACTATCGTAGATAACCGAAGCCGCCTCGCGCCGGATATAAAAGCTCGTCGCAAAGCAACGACTAGGATAGTTCGTCAATGGCCCGACGAGCGGCCAATCTTCGATATCGAACATCTACCCCCCGCCAGAATGGCTTCGCTGTCTCCGCTGCAGTAACGTAGTTCCTTTTGTTCCCGATTCCTCGGGACAGTTTCACCGTCTGCACCGCGATGTTGCGACTCTCCTCCTTTTTTATTTTTCCGGATCGACTTCACCGTCTCCGCCGCGGTAACGCGGCTCTCTATTTCCGGACTCTGCTGTTCTCGCCGCTGTATCGCGGCGCTCCATCATCCTAGTTCTTACAAGACGATTTCATCGTCTCCAACATGGAATCGTGGCCGTCTACCGAACCAAACTGACTATATCAATCGGACCACATCCGATCAAGAACCAACCGAATATATATAACCGCGTAGAACTCTGCGAATTCCATCGAACATCAGTGTTCAAAATACCGATATCCGACTTCAGCATCACTGCAACGGAATTAGTTTTATGCATCTGAAACCTTTTCGGAGTCATGTTCTCTTCATCGTTGTCCCCGTCACAGAATCGCGGCCTGCCGAACCGAACCGGCCCGACCGCAACTAAAATGATCGATTATATTGTAAAGTCGTTTATAAAAAGATTGTAAAAACATTTAAACGTCCGAACTATTGGACACGATGCTTGAAAATATTTCACGTTACTCTGACTTGCGTACATTTCATATTTATTGATTATATATTTGTGTTTTACGTTTATTAACTAGACTACCGTAGGCACTTGTTATTCAATCTCTCTCTTTTACATTTTCTCCTTGTATTCAAACCTAGATTCCGACGAGCAGACATTCGGCGACCGGACGTTTATTAACTAGACTACCGTAGGCACTTGAAGTGATCCCGTTATAAGACAGCATTTTTTTAGAAAATTAAATTATAATCTAATTATTATATATTTAAAATTATTATATATTTATAATTATTATATATTTAAAATTAAATTATAATCTAATAATTATATATCTCTCTCATTATCTTTGTCCTTATCTCTTTGTAACGATTTTTTCAAGTTTTAACTTACTACTTAGTTTTTTTTTTTTAGAAATGCGCTTTATCGGCGTACTGCTCACTATTATTTTATAATCATTCTGTTATATGACATAGTATTTTGTAAACATAAATGACAGCTCTTTAAAACCATAATTGAACGTAAAACTATTTAGATTTAATATTTTTATTAGAAATAGATACTGCTAAAAGCACTGAATTAATTTGCACATTTAATACTAATGTCGTTACATACTTATGTCGTTACATACTTTGAAACGTTTAATAAAAATTTGTTTTTAGGTACCACCACAAATTTCAGTGACAGATGTTCTTGGAGGACAAGTGACGTTAATTAGTTGTTCACCTTCCCCATCTCCGTCACCTGATTCGCTTGAAGATGCGTTACCTCATTACAACACTCTCCCGAGTTTTGTTATTTCAGAACCGTGTGATCCTTCGAGACCTAGTATCACACGTGGTATCGGTAGACCACTTACGATATCTACTGAAGTCGAAGTTACTTTGTCCGATGAATCGAGTAGATTAAATTCTGAAGCTATATTAGGTCGTGTCAAACAAATAATAGATGCAAGAGCGCCACCAAAAGGTTTCATATTCTCAAGAGAAGAAATGGAAGGCAGTGGACTTAGTTTAGAATATCCAGGTGGTGTACAAATTGAACTTAGAGTATGCGAATCGGAAGAAAAAGAAGTGAAGGGAATAAAAATGCGCAGGATTAGCGGGGACCAATTGCAATACAGTCAACTTTGTCAGCAGTTGATTTCGTGTATTACTGTTTGACGACAACCAGCATATAATATAACACTATTTTATACATTACGTTTTACACACATTCCTAGTGTAACATACACCGTTCATCACAGTATTGCATATACACGCTGCATACACGCAAACGATATTTTAAAATCGCCATCCTTTATATATTATTACATTTGTATGTGTGACACATTCAATGTACTACATCTTCTTTAATATTTACTTTGAAAGAAGTAAGATATAAGAGCTATCTCTTGTTTATAACATAAAGTTTTAAATATGAATATATTAATATATTCGTATCTTCTAAAAATATCTATTATATGCATGTTTAATAATCCTCAGTAACGTCGTAATATGTTTCATTCTCTTTGTTTTTACTTAATGCGGGTATTAAGCGTTACAAAAAAAAGTTAAATAAAAATTTGTTCATTGACATGTAATAGGGATTAATAATAGTGTCCACTACAAATGCATCGAACGCACATATATTTTGCTTGCATTTGTTAGGTGTACATAATCACTGCGAATGCTATTATTATTTCCTATCATACTCTGCAAGGTTCCTTTTCATCAAACATATTCTAAATGTTCCGTATATATATATATATATATATATATATGGGTATACCTACCTATATATATACCTACCTATATACCTATATATATATATATATATATATATAT